TGAAAAGTGACATTATTATTTTGTAATTTCTAAATAATAAGGATTTGTTAAAAATTAATAAGAGACATTTATAGGTCGTTTAAAATTATAAATTTCCTTATTATATATAACCTTGACGAATTTTATTTTTGGAGTACCGGGCAATCCGAGAGCAGCAGCAAATTCCTCTGCAGGTAATTCATCTACTTTAAATATGGATTTATCACTTTGCAAATATACTGATCGCATATATGATATAAATGCCTAATGATAAAATTGTTTAAGGATGTTTTTTTAAAAAAATAAAATGAAATAAAATAATACAATACAAGCTTATACTTTTTGTCCAAGGTATTTAATTTCAGGATCCTTGAAACATAGCGATTGCAACTGGTTTTGAATGCTAAATGTCTTGCTGGACTTTGCTTTAATCATGTCAATCGGCACCTTTTTTCTATCTAAAGACGCTTTCATTCCTTGTTCTTCGCTTGTCAGCAAAAATAATAAAGCTTGACCCGAAGCCTCGTATCTTGCTGTTCGTCCAACTCTATGAATATATGTTTCAGCATTTTCTGGAGCGTCTGCTTGTATTACCCAATCAATGGCGGGGAAATCCAAACCTCTTGATGCAATATCAGTAGCAAACAAATATGCAAATTTCATTGAAGAAAATTTATTAAAAATTTCCAATCGTTTGGTTTGCTTTTGTTTGCCATGCAAGTGAAGTAATGGAATTCCTGGATGCAATTTACAAAAAGTTTCAAACACAAATCGAACCTAAGATGATATTAAGATTTAATAAGAAATGGCGAAATTGGAAAATTTTTTTTCCTTTTTTAAAGAAAAAAAAAATATCACCTGCTTGCAACTAGAGAAGAATACAAGGGCTTTCACTTGTAAATGAGATTTAATAAATGAATACAAGATATCCAATTTTTGAGGTAATTCACAAACTAAATAATGTTGTGATAAATTAGTTGGTGTGCTATGTTTCGACTCTTCAACTATAGAAATATATTCGGAATCCTTTAATACAATAAAATATGAATATTAATAAAATTGTTATTGAATGAAGTTTATTTAACAAAAATCTGCTTTATAAATACCTGAAGGCTTAATCGAGCTAAATCCTTAACAGATTTTGTTTGGGTTGCGGAAAATAACAAAGTCTGTCGCTCCTTTGGTAAATTTTCAATTATGGCGTTTATAGTCTTTTCAAAACCCAAATCAAGAATACGATCCGCCTCATCCAGCACTTAATTAATTAAAAGAAAGTTACATCTGACATTTTAACGTGTTGAACCGACTTGAAGAGTTCCAAGATTTTACTAACCTAATACTTGGAGATTATCGCATTTGAAGTTTACAGTTTGATCCATATGTTGCAATAAACGTCCAGGAGTACAAATGAGAATGTTCATCCTATTTATACGTTCCTGTTCGATATTTACATCCTTTCCACCTATCACGAGACCAGCTGACAAAGAATGCTTTCTTCCTATTTTTCGAAGAATCTCGAATATTTGAACCGCCTATCGAAATGTTAATGTTAATTCGATTTATTTTGAATAAACAAGATTATTTAATATGTGTTACCAATTCTCGTGTTGGTGCTATAACTAAAGCACCCAATCCATCCAATTGTGACCAACTTTTTCTATATAATGATTCAATCAACTAATTACGATAAAGTTTTCATTGTTAGATTTGTACAAGGCGGAATAAATCTCAGAAAAATTACAGAATTGTATTTAAAAAACTTTTTACTTTACTGGAATAAGAAAAGCTAATGTCTTGCCACTACCAGTCTTCGCGGCACCCAAAAGGTCACGACCGCGTAAAGCAATTGGTATGGCTTTACGCTGAATTTCCGTCATTTCGACGTAATTCGATTGCTGTAGACCTTGTTGGGTTAAAGGGGATAAGGGCAACTCAATAAATCTTCCATATATCGAATCTGGTGACTATAAGAGAGCGCGATTAAATTTGGTTTGCGAAATAGGATAATTGTTATTAAAAGAAAGAAAAAATACCAAATTCTGACATCTTGTTTCGAGATCTTCTAATTCTTTTAATGCTTGTTCACGTTTAAGTTTACGGTATTCATTAGATCTATTAGATTTCTTGCGACGTTGAACAGACATTTTGTTAATTATACAAAAAAAAATCGGGCTTATTTACATCAATAAAAAAATTTCGTGTAACGAGAGATTGGCGTTTCACAACATCAATTCTTAACAAAGGTTGCAGACATTAGAAATAACATAAGTCATAGATGGAACGCAGCAAACTTTCCATTACCATTTTTTTTTTGGAAACAAAGATTTATTAACCTTATCGTTATCTATCTAAATCAGCTATTGATGATTCTTATTTGTATAAAGTTGACTAATAATATAATAAAGAAACCTCAAAAGTATTCTTTTTTTTATCGCGATTTTCTCACCCTGTTGTTGTCACGATGTTTATTGAAATTCTATAGTTATAATAAACATGGGAAGGGGAAATTCATTATTTTGTCTCAGAATTAAAAAAATTTGTATCAAAGCAATTAATTCTCTTTAGTATACATGGTTGTGTTTACATAAAAAAAAATAACATCGTTAAAAAAATTCAACTGTCAACAGCAAAATTATTTTAAGGATGTCAATAAAAAAATTTGTCATGGGAAATTATCCATATTACGATGCATTTCTAATAAAATCACTTATATTTTCAATTCGTTCGGCCCTCCACTATTATATAAAAAAAAAACATATATATAAATTTAATAAACATTCATATATTTTCATAAATTGGCTTGTTTATATGTTCTACCTTATCGTTCTCCTCGTGTCCTGGTCCATAACATGTTACTTCTTGGTTATCATCATCTAGCATTATATTATGGCTGTGAAGAGTAGCCCCAGTTTGAATATGCCTTAAAGTGATTGCATCTCCAGCTAGCCAATATCCAGAATTATCATAATAGTTACTGTAGCTATGTCTCTGAACGAGCCAATTGTCGTTCAAGTCACTGATATGTTCATCACCGTGACAAACTACTAAAATGAAAATTGAAAAACTATATAAATATTAATTTCTAAAAAGTAAAATTAATTCGTTCTTACCATCTTGCTGATCACTAATTGGAGCACTATAGTCCGGATGTGAACGTAGATAACGTCGTGATATAATATGCTTAAGTCGAATTTGTGTGTTAAACGGTACAATCTCTCCCATTTTCAACCGACGTCTCTCTCCATAACCTTGAAGCACCATCCATAATTCATTCTCTGATTTTCGTCGCGCCGCAAATACCTATCAGGTCGAAGGAGAAGGGAAAAGGATATAGAAAGGAAAGAGATGGAAGGAGATACATTTGATGATTCAAATCTCTGACTATGAACTTGATTACATTGTGCTCGGAACCATTGATCTTAGTTCCCTCCATTCCACAAATTGACGTAATTGATGATAATTATTCTATTTAAAGACTTTTCTCCGAATGATTTATTTTATTTTATTTTTTCTTAATAAACAAATGACATTAAAATGATTTCTTAGGCTTAAACAAACCTGATCTTTGTTTCCATTATTCAATGTCTCGTTACTGATAGGTAATTTACTAGATAAATATTTAAGCGTTGTGCTATGTTGCAAAGCAATGCAAGAGCCAAATCTAAGATGTTCATCAATGATTGAGTTGGAACTGTTCAAAGCGTTTTGTGTTAACGACTGCAAATCATTCTCTGTATGTAACGAAGACCCTTGGGTGGTTGTTATAAGGTGGTCAAGTATTTGTTGCGTTTCGGGGTTTGCACCATCTTCATAATCCTCTATAGTGACCATTTCGTGTGAGTTTTAACGGAGACAACGGAGACTAAAAAAAATAACAAAAAAATTCTCATAGGATACAATATGTAAATAAACATAATTGATAAGTACAAGTACCTCGTGTATTGGCACCCCTCGTTTAGTGTAAATATCAACATAAAAAACTTAACTTTGAATTATATTGTGGCGCAGTCAATTTCCAATTGTGGTTTGAATTTAACTGACGATTTGCTACACAAGGTGATGTCATTCAAATAATGATGTCAATTTGCATATAGAATAAAAAAGTTAGATTTGGTAATTAATTTACAAATTAATTTCTTCGAATTTTTTCACACTCCTATTTTTCACTCCTATTACCGTATAGCGCTGACATTAGTACCCCCTTTGCAAAATATCCCCCTTGTATAGTAACGGATACTATTCAATCACCAAAAATAAAATTTTTGATTAATACTGGGGTACTAATAAATTAACCA